TTAGTGTTGTTACTTTCAGCTAATGATGTTCCAATAAATAGAGTGCATACTTTGCACCCAAAAGAACCTAACCTAGAGCCTATGTGCTGTGCTTTTCCTGTGGATGCAGTGCCTCCCACCAGTCACTCTCCAATCCCTCCAGCCAAATATTTTCCAAGGGTTCAGTTTCTGATTGGTTGTGGAAAGAATGTTTCTTGCTGTAGATTGGATTATTCCCCCCTCCCATTACTAGCTCCCGCACAATAACAGATTATACATCTCTGCCATTATCATGTGACTTGTCCACGTTCCTCATTGACTTTGGGCTTGGTCATGTGACCTGCTTTGGCCAATGGGAGCAAATGAGCACACATGCCATTTCCCACATCTGAGCAGAAGTTTTTAATAAAATCGCACAGTTATGCTCAACTCCTTTAGCTCCTGTGCCCTTTGGCATGAAGAGGACATGTCCCAGGTAGAGGCAGCTCCTTCAACTGGAGTACCAGAATGAAACACAGGTGGTGGGGGCCTGAACTCAGCTGAATCCAAAAGAATCTCAGCCAACCCACAGCCCTCAGGTTGCATGAACAAGAAGTATTTGTAGTTGTAAGTCACTGACATATCGGGGTTGTTTGTTACCACAGCAAAGCTGATGAAATACTCAGGTGGGAGTTTGGGGACATTGTGCTGGCTTCACAAGCAGCCCTTTCCCGGGTCAAAGATGGCTTCCCAGGGTATGTTTTTGGCTACCCAGGGACAGTATCTCTCTTCTGGCTTGTGATGGGTCAAATGACTGTATGTTGTGGTCCATTTCTAAGGCTTCAGAGTTTTGTTCAGTGCTTTGTTAGTAAATAATTGACTCTGAGCATACAGAATGAACCAAAAGTGAGAGCCTTCATATAGAAGGCTGGGCAGGAACTCAGCAGGCACCAGACACACTCAGCTTTGGCTTCATGATATCTATGGTAAACATCTCTTGATTGATAAGGGAAAATCTACAGAGATTTGGCTCCCTCAGTCTGCTTTTCTGGTCTTGGGGAGAGTGAGCACCAGCTGCTCTTCAAATAGCAATTTTGAAAACTTGTATAAAAATTCTGTTATTATATAAAAGGCTGGTTTCCCTGTTTGCCAAGTGGATATCTCCTGTGTCCACAGGGCTTGACTATAGACTTGGCATGGGTTGGGGAGAGGCACTGTGAGTGATATATGGAGGGACCTGGGTCCTTCTTCTAGAAGCTGTGTCTGTCTGGGTCTTGAGGACCCAGTTTGCTCACACTCAGTTCACAGAGGAGCCTTGATGCTGCATTATGGGGGTAAACTTTGGGTCTCTGCGAAGTAAACTAATCCTTGCCTTGCCCGCCTCTGCTACTGCCGGGAGCGTGGACCCTTATCAGCCCCCAAACAGCACCTCTGTCCCTTCTCTTCCTTCCAGTCTTTTCCTCCCTGTTCAAGGTCGTGAAATATCCAGTCCCGCAGCCCTAATTTTCTGTCGTTGACATTCTAGGCAGGGTCAAATTCAGCTCAGACGTGTGCAGCTGAAACGGAGCAAGCTGGGTTCCTACGTTTATTCCAGGAAATGATGCAATTCCTAGAAGGCATGTCTCATAATAAAAAATAAAAAAAGAAGAAAGAAAGAAAGAAAGAAAGAAAGAAAGAAAGAAAGAAAGAAAGAAAGAAAGAAAGAAAGGAAGGAAGGAAGGAAGGAAGAAAGAAAGGAAGGAAGAAAGGAAGAAAGAAAGGAAGGAAAGGAAGTCATCCTAGCTCTGAAAGGGCTATCTCATTCCAGTGAACATCCTGTTTCCTCACCCAGATACAGGGCAAGCTCAGATTTCAGCTCAGTCTTACTATTGACAGTGCCCTCTACCCCAAATGTTCTGGGGTAGTGTTCCCCAGATGGAGACTGTCTCTGGGCTCGCCCTGTTGGCTGACAGAGAGCAGGATGTGGGCAGGAGTGCTAGTCCTCCACTGGCTCCCTCCTCCCCCAACCCTCCTCCTCACACAGTTGCTTTGCTCCCCCTCCAAGCCAGGCCCTTAGCTGGATCCCAGAGATGAGGGAGGGAGGACGAGCACTCAGGACCCTCCCTGACCAGGGCTCCAAGCACAGAGGGGGTGCAGAGAGCACAAGGAAACATAGCATAACCTGATCCAAGTGGGGAGAAGTGGAGGTCCCAGAGACCTGGGGACCCAGGGCAGCAGCTGGGCCTTCAGGGCAGCTTCTCGGAGGAGGGGTGTGTGATGGGGCAGAAGAGGAGGAGGGGTCTGGGAAGGTGGTCGGGGGCGGACAGAGGCGGTTGTGCAGAGGCGCAGAGCAAGAGTGAGCTCTGTGGGAGGGAAAGGGCAAGTCACCCAGTCAGCCTGGGGGGCAGAGCACAGTGGGGGCCAGGAGGGTGAGGAAGGGCCTGGCATGAGGGGCCAGCCAGCTGCCCAAGGGCATCCCTGTGCCCTGAGGCCAGAGGAAGGTCATGGCCAGATGAACCCTTTGGAAAAGCCACAGTGGGTGTTGGGGAGACTGGACATTGAGTGGTGGGGACAGGAGGCAGGGCGCAAACGGTAGGTCAGGAGGCCGTGGGGGTCACGGAGGCAGGGACTGGGCTGCCCTGAGCTAAGTTAGTGGGCAGGAGATAGATGAGGAGGTGAATCAGGAGAAACTTCTAGAGTTAGCATTGACTGGACTTTGTGACTGGATGTGGGGGGGGGGGCAGGGATGGGAATGAAGGTGAGGCAGAGAGAAGAGGTGGATGAGGGAGATGGAGGACTTAGGATGACCCGCTGTTGGGATTGGGAAACTTAGAATGAGGAGTTGGAATGGGGGACATCGTTCCCCAGATCAGCAACATAGAGGGAAAAGGAACAGAGTGACATTCATTCTTGCAGGTGGGGTGCCCTGGGGTTGAACAATGACCATGAGGAATGGGGTGTGGAAGAGGAGGGAGTCAGGGCCATGGGGTGACTATTGAGAGACATGGGCAGAGAAAATACCCAGCTCAGACTCCTTGCACAAGCGACAAGATGTGCAAATCATCACCCTCTTGCAACCCTGGTTCCTGTCCCTGAACGAGGGGGTGATAATACCTCCTCCTCAGGTTGTTGAGTGGATCGAAGGGCTGATGGCAGGTGTCCACTGCACTGCCAACATCTGTGTGACCCCACAAGACTCTGGTCCCTGGCCAAGCTGCCTGTTGGGTTACAATAAGATCCCTTTAATTTCCACTTCTCCAGGCAGCAGCTATGAGAGAAGGGCATCTGAGGCCAGGAGGGGATGAAAAGGGGCTCAGTGTGGCCATAAGCATCATTGGCAGGGGTTGCTGGGCTTCAGAGTCAGTCTGCACCAAGGGAAGAGACTCAAGACAGACTTTCTAGTGTCACCCTGGATGGGCCTGGTACTTAGACATTGGAAAGATGTTGGCACATCTGGTTTCATGAGGTTTTTTTTTTGTTTTGTTTTGTTTTTTAGCTGAGCCATCCTGCTACCTGTTGGCAGCTCAGCGGCTGCTCAGCTTGGGCTGGACTCAAACCGCTGTTGCTCAGAGCTCAAGCTCTTGAGCGAGCTCTTAACCAACTGAGCCACTTGGCCGGCCCTTGGTTTCATGAGAACATATGTGCAGACACACGTCCACACAGGCACGTGCATTGTGAGCACACTTTTGAATGAACATGTACTCAGCAGACACACTCCCTGGACCCTCCCCCATTTCCCATGACTTGTAGGGTTGGGGTGTTTTTCTCAGTCTTCAGTCCCTGGTGTCTGTGAAAGTGACAGCAGGACCCAGCATCCTCTTGTGACAAGTGTTATTTTCCTGGTTTCCTGGGAGGTAAGGAATCTGCAGCATCGCCCCTTCCCCAAAAGAAGCCACTCTCTTGGGAAGGGGAAGGGTGTGCTCAGGAGTACATCTGATTGTTCTAGCACAGGCAGGCCAAACACTGTACCTGGAGACCTGGTTATTTTTTGGCGTAGCTATGAGCACCGCGCCATCTTCATGCGAGATGAGAATGTGGTCCATCCAGGCCCGGCAAGTAGGGAAGAATTTTCCTTTTAAAGATCAGCCCTTGTGCTTGTTTTGGCAGCCCATATACTAAATATCAGCCTTTAAGTTCAGAAGCACGAACGTGGGCACGCTGAATTGTAATACTGTGTTCTTTCCTTCTGGGCACCGTAAATTCTTTGAAAATAAAAGACGCTGGATCTTTATCCTCTAAGGGATGGAATTTGTTGCACAACAGTAGAGTGGCATTTTTTTTTTTTGGTATAAACCCTCTCACGCGACCCAAATGGAATTTATTCACAGAAGGTCTGAACAGTGTCAGCCTGGCTCTACGGAGAGAATGGGGCCTCCTGAGTGGGAGTCCTGGTTCCAAATCCCGGCTCCACCCCTTGTCAGCCGAGACCTTGGGCCTGCTACTCAGTCTCCCCCAGGCTCAGGAGACAGTCTCATGAAGAGGGCATGATAATATGTACCCCTTTGGGACAGAGAAGGGATGAAAGGAGATCACATGTCAAACACCAGCATGGAGCCTGGCACAAAGGAGGGAGCAAAGAACAGCTGTCTCATTCTGAATAATCAAATGGTTAGAGCGGGAAGCATTAAATCATTGACTCATACACACAGTGGGATCTCCACCTCATGGCAGTGGACATCAGTGAAAGGTCGGCCGTAGAGCGACCTGCCCCTCCCCGTTCCTTATGCCCTGCACCCTAACACTCTCCTGAGTTGAGAGTCTGTCTGTCTGTGGTCCCCAGGGAAGTTCTTCACATCCCTAAGCAACCAGTTCAACAATACAGACCCCCCCGGCCTGCGGGTGAGAGCATCAGTTCTGCGAAAGGGAAGCTGAACAGATGGAGCGGGCCCGTGAGCAATGGTGAGCACTTCGTCACTGATTTGTGATACGGCCCCACTGGTGAGACACCTTTGCTTTGCGGTGACACCCTGTTTTCTAAGGTTCTGCTCGTGTTGGGGGAGGGGAGCTTGGCAACACCAGCGGGGCCAGCATGTTACTTCTCACAATACCGATAAGAGCCGCCATTTATTGCGTTCCAACTCAGTACAAGGCATTTTAAGCAATTTCGACTCATAAGTTCCACAACCACCCTGCTAAGTTGATGTCAGTTTTCACACGTTTCTGTATGAGCACACTGAATTTGCCCAAACCCATGAAATCTAAGCTCGTGGAGGTGTCAGGAGTTGAACCCAGGTCCGTTTTTCTCTTCCTGGGATAGCGCTGTGCACGGCCCAGGAGACAAGAGCCGGTCCTGGCTCTGTCACCCCATGGACCAGCTGTGACATCTGACAACCACAGTGCCGACAAATGCCAGTCTACCACACTTCGTCCTCTATCCCGTCTGCCTCACCGGGTTCTTACAAAAATGAAACGTGTGGGAAAGTGATGGAAAGCAGATGTCACTGTCTTGGGGGGGATGGGGGTGGAATGATGACAAGGACGACCCTGAAGGTTCACGGGGCACAGAGCTGCTCCCCTGAATAGGACCATTTTCTCCAGAACTGTTAGATGAGAACGAAATAAATGTCTAAATTCTTCAAGCCCCTGAATTCTGACTGTCTTTGTTAAGCTACAAGATCTGCCTCCTTGTGTGGGCCCTGAAGGCAGGCGGAGCCCAGCCCCAGGCTCCCGTTGTGTGTGGGGGTGGGGATGGGGGGGGGCTGCGCAGCTGGGGGAAACTTCACACCCTGTGCCTTCCCTCTACTGTGGGGCCCGACGCCCCTGCAGACTCAGCCCATGGCCCCAGAAGCGAGCCAGGCCCAACCCGTTGCTGACAGGCGGACACTCTGATGAAGACAGATCAGGGCCAGAGGGTGGGGCCCTGGGTGTGGGCGGGCCCTCCTCTCCTCTGGCTCCCTCATCAGTAGTGGACGCAGTACAGCTGGACGCTGCCACTGACCCGGAGCTCCCGCAGCCGCTCCAGGACCTGCTGACCCAGACTGGTGGCCCCCAGGCCCTGCCCATTGAGTGCCAGCTTCAGCCCTCCCTCCTGGCACAGGAGCAGCACCTGGGAAAGGAGGACATGAGGCCTGCAGGCGTCCTGATGGACCCTCTGCTGCCCACCCCATGCCCAGACCAGTGAGCCCCTCCTCCCCTCAGAGGACAGACTGGACCCATGGGGCACCCAGGGGTGGAACACAGCAGGACTAGGGCCCAGCTTGTCCCCAGCCCTTCCACATGCATCTTCCCAGCGCTGGACTCCGTGTCACCATCTGTAACAGGGGTTGCTTCCTCTGGAGGAGACGTTCTCGACCCTGGCTGCACACTGGAGTCATTAGGGAGGCTTTTTGATAACGCTGATGCCAGAGCCCACCCTGATTGATTAAGCCTGGGTTCCTGGGCATGAGATGCCTGGCTCTGGCATGGAGGGTTGAGAACAGTGAGCTGTGGCTTCTCTGCCCCTAGTCTCCGGATCGGGAATACCTGGCTTATACCTACCTCAAAGAATCGCTGGGGGTAAAAAAGGAAAGGGGCCAAGATCAGCTTCTTTCGTCCCCAGGGCGAGACCCACGCCAGAGTTCTGTCTGTGAAGGAAGCCCTGAGCGTCACAGGAACATGGGCAGCCTCGTCCAGCAGGCTGAGCGTGAAACTGTGGGAAGGGGCCCAAGAAGGCTCGGCTCAGCTTCCGGAGCCCTCAGGCCACGACTCCCTGCTTCCTCTGGATGGAGGCTGCCGGGCTTTGAGGGAAGGGATGGTGGTGGGAGAGCAGCTGGAAGGTTGAGCACCTTCCACCTGCCCCCAATCCCGCCCCCGGAAGCAAGCATTGGACGCTAACAGCTCAGAGTGCAAACACCTGATGGAGTCTCACACCTGAGATTAAATCCTCACATTGCTGCTCACTGGCTGCAGGACCATGGGGCAGCAAACGACTTTGTCCGAGCCTCAGTTTCCCCTCTTCATAATGGGGATAACTTTATTAGTAGTAGCTAACATTTGTTAAATACTATGTGCCAGGTATTGGCTTCAGTGTTCTGCAAATAGCGTAGAGGTTAGAGCAGGGCTGCCTGGGTTCAAACGCGGCTTTGTTAAGTTCTAGTCTTGTGACCTTGGGTAAGTCAATGTTTCTGTGTCTCAGTTTCCTCATCAACAGTACTGTACCTGCCTGTGGGTTGTTATGAGAATTAAATGAGTTACCGCACGTATGCAAAGTGCTTAGAATAGCACCTGGTGTATATTAAGCACTCAAAGCACACCTATTGTTTAAAAAACGATGCTTTAAAATACAAATACTACCTCACAGGGCCATTGATAGGAACAAAGGCGATAAGGTATATGTAATGCAGCAAGTAACTGGCACGAAATAGATGTTTTATAGATGCTACTGTTTGCTTTTCTGGACTCCTCACAGGAACCCTGTGCTTCCAGCTTCTCTTTAAAAATAACCAGAAGAGCTGGCATGAGCAGGTCTATGAAAATATTCTTTTCACGTCACCATCTTCCCAACTTGGTGCCTCACTATTCGTGAGACCTCTCAGGCCGCTGAGGGCACATGAATTGATGGGCCTTGAGAAAGAGCAGTTTAATTATTTGCTGTGTCACTAATAACTATGTGACTTTGAGCTAGGATATGAACCTGGTCTCATGTCTCCAGGTTTAGTTTTTGGGGTTGGTGGGGTAGGGGGTGGAGGGGAGGTGTTCTTTCTGTCACTGGAAACTATTTCACTTCCCCTATAAGGTTGGGTTTATGTTTCTCCTTTTTTTCTGATGGGGAAACTCAGCACTCCAGATTCAGAGAGGTGTGGGGACTTGCCCAAGACCACAGTTGATAAGAGCCAAAGCCGAAAATCCAACCCAGTCGTGCCTGGCTTTGGAGGCCCAGGCTGTCCAAGGTTGCGTGGAACGCCTGCCCCAGAATTCAACAGCATGCAAGGCAAGGGTTTAGTGAGGTCAACGACTTCAAAAACAAAAACAAAACAAAAGGAGAAGGGGCGGAAGTACAGAGGGTGCTCCCCTTACTCCACCGAGAGAATTCTGATACCAGCACATTTGTGGAGCATGTGCTGTGTGCCTGGCACAATTCTAAGCATTTACACCACCCTGAAGCCAGCACTATTAACCCCCCCTTTTTTTTTTTTTTTTTTGTAGCGGACAGTGTCACTGGCCCTCACATGTGGGATCCGAACCGGGGCCCTCTGGCGTCCCAAGCCAGTTCTTAACCATTGCGCCACTCGGCCGGCCCAAACCCCTTTTTATAGACAAGGAAACAGGCACAGAAAGAAAAGGTAATAGCCTTGAAGTTGCGTAGGTAGTAAGTGTCCTCGGTAGACCTGGCCCAGAAAAGTCATGAAATCCAATGCAATTTCAGAAAGAAGGAAAAAAGGAGGAAGAGGGGGGAGGGAGGAAGGGAGGCAGGAAGGCAGGAAGGCAGGAAGG